AGGTGACGACTAGTCGCCGAATTTCACGTGTGTCGTACTCAAATTCCAAGCCCATACGCCNCTTTCCCAAAGTCCACGCTGTACCGTTGCCACCCGATGATCACATTGGAAGCCTCGGGCTGTTTGCGAACGCCGTGGCGTGAGGCTACTCGCCCGAGACGATCTAGCTGATCGGTATCGGTAGATGCTGCAATTACATGAGCAAACAGTTCCCGTCCCTCTTTTGCTAGACGGGGACAGAGTTCTACATTGGGGTATTCAACAATTGTTTCTGAGAGAGTTTGTTTTAGGTTCACGCCGGTCAAATTGACGACATCCTCTCTGGATCTCATAGGAGAATCTTTTTGTTCCTCCATGGTCCAGATGGCGGGACCAATGCCTACACATTTTGTCATGATCCGGATAAGCAATCCATTATTTCTTACCATTGTCGATCTTGCGTCTACACTCAGCTTCATGTGCCTCGATCGAATCGAGCTCCCTAACAATCTTTGCACTGCATCGTTTGCACACCGCGTGCCTTGGATTGATCGATCATCATGTATACGATTCAATGGACGCACTCTAGAGCAGGCTTGACATACGGGCGTGCCACATTCTTCTCGCCGCTTTTCACCCGCGCGTAGAGATTGGAAAAAGAGCTCATGCGGAGGGCATTAGACTCGCTCCCAGACCGTGGCAGAGAGGCAGACTGGCAGACCCGCCTTGCTTAAACGTGGCCGGTTTAACCTTCACTAACCTGACCGCGATGCCTCAGGTTCAGCATAATCCTAAATAGTAGCGACGTCGAGAGAAAGCTGGCTGATCCATCCGCCCCACGATGCATCCGCCCCTATAGAGAGCTAGAATGCCAATTGATCACCAGGATACATCAACAGGCCGCTACTTCCGGGTGCTACCGGATCATGGACGGATCGATTTTGATCTACGCCAAGGCAACGGTGACGCGGAGTCTGCTCGAGCACGTTTTCCGTAACTACAAGACTCTTATAGCCACAGAGCTCGAAAGTCTCTCCTCGCTGCTAAATAGTCATTGCATCCTGCTCATCGTAGCTGGGCTGGATGCGGGTTGTTTGAGAGTTACGCGAACCTCCCTGCTAGTCCCCATCCTGATCGTCGCAAACACGGATTCTAGCGAACCATTTGACAGTGATCTTGCAAATCAATGTGTCAAGCTTGGGGCTGCCTTGGTCCAGGGTCTAGAGACTTCGGCCGTACTTTCACGCGCGGGCTCACTGATCAGACGGTTCCAGGCAGCTCAAGTAGTTTTCAATGAATTGAACGGTCACGGACCAAGTGTGTTCTCCGAGCTCTCGAGCCGATCAGGAATCGACGCAAGTAGATCACACTGTCATAGATCAAATTCGGATCGTCCTCTTGATATTCACAGTTGCCCTCGAGACGTTGACGGACACCGATATAGCTATAGAGCAAAGAATCAAATCGACTCTACTAGTGCCATCCAAGAAGCGGGTGGGAAGATGTGGCAGCCTTTAAGATCGCCTCGGACATCGGTTGGTATGAGTCAGCGTCGAACAGCTGGTGTGCTCAAACTTGTCAAAGAATGTCTCGGCATGTCCCGCGATGAAAGTTCATATCGAAGTGTCCGAGATGTCATGCGTTTGATCAGCAAATTTGAATCAAGGCTTGCAGGGCGTTCTACGACGCAGAGTAATAACTGCGTGAAGGAGTTTTATTCCTCGAATAAGCGGACTGACGAAAACTACAAGTCGATAGCCTGGAATAATACAAATCTTCGCAAGGAGCTTCGCGTGATTCTCCAGCCGAAAGTTGTGGATGTCCTACTGAAAAACGATTATGAGCACATACCCCCAAGACAATTTCGCTGCAGTCCATCAACTCTGCTTCTGCAACGCGGGTACTATTTGTATAGGGGGCGCCAATACGAGGAAGCTTGTGGATTCTTTGATTTGGCTGTCGCTCGAGACTCGAGGGAGGTAATGGTTTTTTTTTGGAGAGCACTCGCTGGCGCTCGACTTGGTTTTTACCTGCAGGCCACACGTGACCTGGACCGCGCTCTTGACTTGACCTTGCGTGAAAAAGTCGTTTTGCACGAAGCTCGAAATACAATTCGAGAGCAGCAGCGACAGAAAGTCGAATTGGCTATTCGCTTCAACCGCTCGGTTGCGCGCGTGAGTATGCCAGTGTCAACTTTTTGCATTCAATCCACACTCTGTTCTCAATCAGGCAAATATGGGCGACGATGATGGCGCATTGCAGGATCTTGAGTCCTTACTGCTGCTGGTTCCTCATAACAAACGCTACCGTTCCCAACATGCCATCATCAGCAGACGCCGTGGACATTGGGATCGCGCTTTCGCTGATTATATCACAGCACGTGGGCTGTGCACAAGCACCACCCTTGCAGCTGTGTGCAAATCGTCCGCTATCGTTGGCAACATTCCCGAACGAACAGGGATTGATAATTTCAACACAAAAATTGCAAGGCAGATTTCGCAAGACTCCAGAGTTTGCCTCTCTGACTTCAGGGTAACAGTTAACCAGATGACAGATATACATGACGCTTTGTTTTTGACACCTTCTAGGGTTCAAGTCGCACTTGCCACTGATCCAGCATTACGCAGCCCAATTGAGCTGCAGCAATTGTCTGACATGCTTTCTACCCTGCATGTCTTCCAGGGAATATCGCCACATTGCATGGCGCAACTAGCAGCTTCCGTGAGCTATCGACCTCTAAAACTTAGAGACACGGCCTTGACTTGCAATGCAGAGACAGATGCCTGTTTTATTGTTCTCAGTG